AGTTTGATTTGGTACAAATTTAAAGAATGTGAAAATATATGGTTTAAAATGATGGATAGAAGAGAAAGATTTTGAGCCACTCAAAATTTTACAGAAAAAGAAATCAAATGTATTTTTTGGGATGTTCCAAAAATGAAATAAGTCATCTTTTTTGGAACAAAGAGAGTTTAAAAATAGATTTTAATTAATCAATTCATATTAAATTTTATATCATAATTCAATTTTTTTGTAATTTATGGTCAATGTTTAAAAGTGTTGACTACAAAAGTCAAAAATAGATAGAAAGATATGAGACAGAGCGCAATGTGTACACATATCTAATTTTTGTTCTTTTTTTAGTTAATTTTAATATCAATGGGCAAGCTTATTATATGTGATATGCATTTATTCAGTCAATCACGTACACGTACAATGTCATCTTTACAAGTAAATAAATTGGACTGAAAATAAAGTCGATCGATCTCCGTAAAACGGAATGAATATATAATTTAATTTTGGAAGTACAACATAATATACTCCTTCTGTATAGAATATTTATCTAATTTTTATTACTTTTTAGCAACCCAGATCGACCTTTGATTTATAATGGAATTAAAAATAAATCATGTATTAATTAGATAAATAATATTTTGAAAATATTTTACAAGATAAATGTAATAAAATTATATTTATATCAATATTTATTATAAATTTTATTTAATTAATAGTCAAGGTTTATTAATTTTGATTGCAAAAAACCAAAATTGGATAAAAACTCTAGGATGGAGATAGTACTAAAGGCTGGTTTGACAATACGTTTAGCTTTAACGTATTGAAAATGTTATTTATCGATAACGTTTAATTTCAAAATTTCTAAAGTTAATTTAATTTGCACTATTAAAGAATTATCAAAACGTTAGGTTACGTTACCACTAATTGAACAAATTCATTACTCCGTAATTTCAAACAAGATGATAACGTAATTAAAAATAGCTCTCATACATGATACATGTAGTATATAGAAAATGGAAGTATTCTGATGGAATAGGAAAAAAATAAAAGAGAAAGTATTTTAGTGAATCTGGCAGGAAAGTGTGAGGGGGAATTAAGGGCATTTAGGGCCTCCTTCCTTGGTCTTCCAGTTGTTGTAGCAAGGGCATTTTTCTTTGTTGCCGGAGGTTCCGGGAGGCACGCACCGGCACTTTGCACAGCATGGTTCACAGAACGACATGCACCTCGGCTTCCGGTGTTTGGTCTTGGAGCACCTCCGGTCGCACTCTGGTTTGCACTCTGTCCCATTTTTTTTATTTTTATTTTTAACGTAGCATATATGCACATTATATTAAATTTAAAGAAATGACCTTCAATTAATATGACTAAAAAAAGTTTAAAAAAAATGTTTAGACTTTCCATATTTGTTCATATTTGTTCTTGAGTCACTTCAAAAAGTAAAATAAAGTATTTGTATGGATAGTGATTAATGGATAAATTAAAAGTGAGGGTAGTAGTGTGGTTTAAAGAAAAAGTATTTTCGAAGAAAGGAAATTGAAAGATAATTTATCGACGGACAGATAAGGAAAATAAGAAGATAAACCATGGACGGTGGGAGTATATAAATACATAATACTAATAAAAAGTTACTTACGGCTTTGATGCAGATTGCCATGGCCATGGTTCTGAAATTTTCAAAGGAAAATATGCAATACATATTAATTCAAACCTAAGATTGAACGTAACACATTTTGTTTAATTTGATGCAATTAAGAAACTTGAAAGTAATTGATTATGTGCACCTGGAGGAAGTGGTCATTAGAGCCATGTCTTCCTTGTAAAGCAAGCTGCAGCAGGAATATATTATTATAAGTGATGATCTTTAATTTGCATGCACGAGTAGATATTTCATTCGGGGAATTTATTTAAATAGCACTAAAAAAATAATGAATTTCCCTAAATAGAATCGCATGTGTTTTTTCCTAATGTAGTACTTTTAGGCATTATGCATTAGTTATTAGTTATTCAAGTAAATATTCGCAATCACTGGACATTATGGACATTATTAAGTGCTATTTAGAGAATAAAACCGTTTAAGTGCTATTTAGAGAAATGACTTAAGTTTTAGTGCTATTTAGTGCAAATATTTCATTCCCAAAAAGCACTACGGAGTACTTCGTACACACTTTGATTTTTTTGCAGAAATTTTCAATTTCATAATAGTGAAAATATGATCAAGTTTTCGTCTAATAATGATAAAATAAACCCATGAAAGTTAAAAAAAATTACAGTGTGTTCTTGGAACATGCAGATGGCAACCAATGTGATCATGATGAACAAAGCAAGGAATTTGGCCATGGCCATGGGGCTACTGATCGAGAATGAATAATAATGGATTATTGGAGTACGAGTTAAAGTGATGAGCGGAAAAAATGGTAATCCAAGGATATATATATATATATATATATATATATATATATATATATATATATATATATATATATATATATAACTATGTGTGTGTGCGCGCGCGAGCGAGAGAGCACGAAGTAAACCAAACTTGCATATCTTTTCACATTATAATGTCAAGAAACTAATTGAACAAAAAATTCAAACACGTGATCCGCACAAGAAATGATTTTATATTCTAACAGAGATATATAGTTGATTTACGATATATGTTTGAATGGAACTATTTTTAGTTCAATTTATTTATACAAAAATTGGTATTGAAATAAAGTGTAAAAATTATATACTTAGAATTTAAACTACATCATCTAATGACCCTCGGATTCCGTCTCATTGTGTTTGTCAAGTTTTGACTTTTTGAAATTAAAATTGATATATTTTGACCATTAAGTAAATGAATTTGGCATTAGATATTGATTCAATTTTTTAAAATTAGATTTATCTTGTATGAAATTTTTTAATATTGATTTTCTAAATTAATAAACCATAATTTTTTTAAAATTAAAGATCAAAAGTTGACATTGGTTGAATCCCAAAAGTTAAAATTGAACAAAAATTCTTGGGCGGAAAAAGTATTATTTTATTAAATTGGTAGTAAAAAGAGAAAAAAAGAATAAAATTTGAGTATGTAATATGAGCTCTGTTCGGATTTAATTTTCTCATTTGACTTTTCACGGTTTCCAATGTAATATTTTTACGTTAATGTTGATATTTATATATAGATATATTTTATAAAATTTTAATATTTCAAAACAATGTTTCAAAAGAAAACTATATATTTATATTACATTTATATCAAAAGTATAATACATTTTTTCCATAATCAAAAGTTACAAACTTTAACAAAAAAAAAAATTAAAAGGATGGGAAGATTAAACTTGGAAGGAGGTACAAATAACTACCCCTTTCGTTTAATCTAATGCATTGATAAGTGTGAAAAGAAATTTCTTTTCAACAGGTATTGTTTTGAAATTGATGAAGTACCGGAGTATTTAATTTACTAATGCTAGGGCTACACGAGCTTATACTCCAATGTGATTACACAAATGGTAAGTTTGTTTGTGTATTTTGTGACCGAAATGTTTGTGACTCTAGCATTTCTCATGTGATTATGCAACACCAATTGATCATCGCTAACGCCCTTGGCTGGATGGTTTTATTATGCAACACCAATTGATTTCTTGATGAGTGAACATAATCACGGACCAGATTTGATCTCACCAGGAGTGCATTCTTGATGAGTGCACGCGTACCTTATGAACGTACAAAATCTTATCACTTTTAAAATTATTTAATTACAAATTGGTATATAAATAAAAACTACAAACTACACCGTTCAAAAATGAATCAAAAGTTGTACATAATAAGATGTGACAAAAATATTTTATTTTATTAAATGATCAATAAAAACATACAAACCAATAAAAGTTATTGAGATAGATGTCGTAATAGCGATAGTGACAAACATTGTGTGAGAGAGGAAGTATTAAGTCAATCAATTACTCCCTCCCTCCCACAAAATATTACTCATTTTGAATAGCATTTGGTAAAAAAATTACATCCTTTGACTATAAATTGTAAGAAAAAAGTATATTGAATTATAGTATAAATTTAATATATAATTGGATTCATCTTAGGATGTAGTTTTGATGTATAAAATTTTTATAACATTTCTTCATTTAAATTATATTTAATTTATGGTCAAAGCGTGTAACTGTTTGATTAAAAATACATCAAAATGAGTAATGTTTTGTGGGACGGAGGAAGTATTTTTTGTGACTTTTCAAATAAAAAGAGAGTTGTCAAAGACTTTAGGGTCTAACGACATTTTTCAAAATAAGATCTCACATAGGTTTTGACTTATGTGCTTGAGTAGATAAAAAAAGTATATATACCAACATTTCATTGTAATAGTCTCTATTTTAAAAAAATAAAATAAAAAAGGGGTTTGTAAAGCCAAAAGGCCGTGGAAATGCGAAAAGGAAAATGAAAATCAAAGATTAGATAATTTAATGTCAAAAGCAAATGACAAATTCCCATAATTAAGGTAAAGTTACAAAGAAGACGAGAAAACTAAAAAGGGGAAACAATAGAAAAAGAAACTTGAAATTATGGGTACGTAGTAAAATGATTGAATTGAAAAAACTGTTATGCCAGAATTTATCAGAAATTATTAGACAGAGTGTTGACTAAACAACACATTCATCGCTTTCAAATTTGAAAAAAAATTAGTGTACCAAAATACTTCAATCACACGCGTTCATTTCATTGATGAAATCATGAAACAACACAATTTTACGATGTTTTGGCCAATACATTCGAATGTATGCATGCGGTTGTTAATGTTAAACATTGCTTTTCACCAGTTTAAAGCAAGACACTTTGAGTCCATGCCATTCGCGTAACGTTCGAATGTATGAGAGTATATATATATTCAAATGTATATGTCCTTTCCCAAAAGATGCTGGTGATTGTCATTAACATTCGAGTGTACAGTTTCATACATTCAAATATTTTTTACTCTACTATTTATAAAAACATAAAGAAATTTTATACTCCATCCGTTTCACAAAATCTCTTCCTCTTTCGTTTTTTTTGCTTTCCACAAAACACTTCCATTTTCTATTAAAAAACCACTTTTACCCCTACTTTTTCATACCCTACATATCACATCATACTTTTTCAATAATAACCAAACTATCACATCTTACTTTTTCCCATCACATCAGGGGCAAAATTGGAAAGTCAATCAAAATTACACTTTCCTTATTTTTCTCCAAAGTCAAAACTGGAAGGGTTTTGTGGAACGGAGGGAGTAAAACAATAATGTCCAGCCATGGGCTCTGCCCCTTGAACCCCGCTACTAAAGATTGCCACCCCTAGTCTCCAGATTTGATTTTTTCGGCACCTTTTGTGATACACATATTCGGGTCAAAGATTAATTGGGGTGAAAGAGTACGAATTGAATGGAATTGGGAGGTCACACTAACATGTACGAGAAGCCATCTGCAGCTAACAAAGTTTTTCTGATCAGAGAGCTGGTGAACACAAGGATGAAAGAAGGCACTTCTGTTACCGAGCATATCAATAAGCTGAATTCAATCTTAACCAGACTTGCGTCAGTGGGCATTAAGTTCGATGATGAAGTTCAAGCTTTGCTACTGCTATCATCTTTGCCTGGTAGTTGGTCCGGAACGGTTACAGCGGTTACCGGTTCAGTGGGACCTGATGGATTCACCTTTGATCAGATTCGAGATCTCATTCTTGGCGAGAATGTCAGAAGAAAGAGTTCAGATGAGTCATTTGGTGAATTGCTTCATGTTGGTAGAGGCAAAAGAAATAGCAGAGGTAGTGGGAGCAGGAACAAACAAAGGCGTCAGTCGAAGACTCAAGATAGCTCAGATGTAACGTGCTGGAAGTGCAAGGAGGTGGGGCATTTTAAGAATCAATGCCCGAATGACAAGAAAGTGAACATTGCTGAAGGCTCTGTGAGTGACGAGGAAGTCACTCTGACTTGCTGTGGGGAAAGCAATGTGGATTCTTGGGTCATGGATTCTGGTGCTTCATTTCATGCCACCCACATCGGTGAAGCATTGCAGAATCTTGTTATTGGGGACTTTGGAAAGGTACGACTAGCGGACGACAGTGCTCTTGATGTGACGGACATGGGTGACATAGTGTTGATGACCCCAGTCGGTTTCTGGACTTTGAAGAATGTCAGAGTTGTTCCAGCCTTGAAGAAAAGTTTGATTTCTGTCAGGCAGTTGGACGAATAGGGACATGAGGTGAAGTTCAGAGATGGGCAGTGAAAGGTCGTGAAGGGAAATCTTGTCATGACCCGTGGAAAGAAGAGAGGTTCGCTGTATATGGACGAGTTACCATCTGAGAGAGTGACCGTCCCAGTTCAAAAGAGAAACAAAGTCCAGTTCACAGAGTCTCGTGGGCAGAATAAGGTTATCTATGCAAGAGAGAAACCTAGAGCCACAAATCAGACTTAGGATGAACGAGCGAGGAAAGGTTCAAGGAGGCCAGTCAGAGGTATTTGTGGCAGTGGGAGCTCAAGAGGCGCTTCAGCCAAGTTGCCTAGAAGACAGTGGGTCAGAAGAACCAGTATTCCAGCTGTTGGAACATCTCCAGAAAATTTCTTGCTGAGTACGAAGATTGTTTGTTCTCAGGATGTTCCAGAATCCGGCAGTGTGCGTCTGCAGTGGGAGCCGGTAGGGACCGAGGACGAGTCAGGGGCAGATTTAGCCGTGACTGATGTGTTGGAGCTTGGGAGAGCTTCAACGGGCCTTTCAATTGTCTGATGAGAGGGCCGCTGCAACAGGAGAACTAAGGAAGATTATTCGATGTACATGCGATCGTGGCGGATGACAGTTGATGATTATCAAGCCTCCAAGTGGGAGAATGTTGGGTTTTGTGAGGCTAGATACGTTTGGGCCCGACTTGGATCGGCCCATCTTATTTTTAGCCCGTTTGTCTCTTGTTTCTTGGGGAACAAGTTTCGTAACCCTAGGTGTTTTCCTATATATGCACAGCTTGTACTTGTAATTCTGTGAGGCACGACAAGTGAAATAGAAATCCTCCTGTTGCATCCGTGGATTAGGGAAACCGAACCACGTTAAATTCTTGTGTGTCGTCCGTGTTCCGTTTCTCTCATTTCTCGCAGATTATTTGTGTGTGTTGTGTGTTTAATTCCCAACAACATTGTATTCATGCTCTATTCTCTGCAACTAATTATAAATATTCAATACCATAGATACATATTGAAATATAAGCTACCAAGATTCTTATAAAGTGCAACTCACATAAATTAACGGGAGAACTATTCAATTAGGACTAAAACATGTTCCATATATCGATATTGGATTATCATGGCACGTTTGATGGTTTTTGGAGGAATATGTGATATGAGTTCTGAAATCTGAAATAAAGTTATTTGGAGAAAATTTAATATCATGATTTAATTAGTGATAGGTGGGTGCAGTCTACAACGTGAGTTGCCGGCGGTGGTAATGGTAGTCGGTGGAGGGGGTGGTCGATGGTTTAAGAAGTTCAGATATCAAAATTTTATATTGATATCTTTGAAATTTAGAAGGTATCGAAACCATCCATATGCATGGTTGGTGATATCCGAAGATATCAACTATGATGTTTTGGCTTCACATGACCAAAAAAGTTTTTTTATATTTAGAAATATCATAACCCATTAATGAGAGCCAACTTATAATACCACAAACAAATTCTGAACGCAATATACAATGCCAAGTTTGATATTTGCATCGTGCTAACACTCCTATTTAGAGGAAAAATAGGACACTTATTTTGGCATGAATTTGATAATTTAGTTTTATTTAGATAGACTTCTTTAGATTAACCTAAATTCATTGACTTTTTACCAAATGATTGTATTATTCTATATAGATTACTATTTGTATTTGTAAAGTCAAAAATTTATATTCATATTTTTAAAATGTCAAAAAGTTGCGAGATTAAAGAAAGTTGTATTCAGAGCTAAAATTCTAGTCTTATGCTTGTGGGCCGGCAGAAAACCCAAATTTATGTAAACAATTAATGAAAAAGAGATGGCGCACCAAACATTTAGATAGGCCCATCGATTTAGCAATATAAAGTGGCCCATTCAACACGTGCAGTGATTTTTATTAAAAGGGCCTCTTTCCCCTTGATCATAATAATTGGGCTAATTCATGAGAAGAAAAACTAAACTACTCGTAATAAATAATTTGTAGAATAGTCGATTATCACGAGAGATTATTAAAATTTTAAATTTAAAATTGATAAGTAATATAAACCACTTAAATCTTCTAACAAAAAAGAAATATGAACCTAATTTTTAATATATCAAATTAGAAAAGTTAAGCTCAATTTGGCCCTAAAAACTCTTCTGATTTTGACTTTTTTGGTCAAACAATGACACTCTTTGACCATAAATTATGAAAAAATATATTAAATTATAATACTCCGTATAAATTCAATATAATTGGGTTGAATTTAGAATATTGTTTTGATATGTCAAGTTTTTATAATATTTATTTATGTAGAATATGTTTAATTTGTGGTCAAAGAATATCATTGTTTGACTAAAATAATTAAAACAAGAAGAATTTTAAGATCAATAGGAGTATTTAGAATTCTAGATCCATTTTTTCTTAGTGGTTTATTCTTTCTTTTCTGAAATAAACTTTGGTCTTTAATTTCACAAAGTTTAATAAAAATATTAAAACGTAGTGGAAACTCCTTCCCAAAATTCGCTGAAAAATACGTACATCTAGGATATGTACGTATTTCTTCTCGGGGTATTTATTTTATAGCGGATAGATTCAACGGATTATCTTCTCTTATGGTTCATTTGGTATGCAGAAATGATGGAATTAGAATTGAATTAGGAGTTAAAATTAGATGGAATTGATTCTGAATTCAAATAGATTTTTTATGTTCTTAACAAAAAATCATTTGGTGCATGCAATAGCTTTTCTTCAATTACAAGTGTGTTACTGAAACTACAATGTCTCTTTGGAAGTGGACTTTTTATTATACTCCCTAGTCCCTAACATAAAATGGAATTGATTTCTAATAAAACAATATTAGAAAAAAAACGTATAATTTCTTCGTTTATCTCTTGATATGAGACGGTGATTCCCTCCACTCAACTGCAGAGTTTTCTGTTTTACATGGCAATTGCTACGGTACCTTTGGAAAGGAAGGGGCATGGATGCCCCTCCACTCAATTAATGCCAAGTGGATTAAAAATCAAAGCCATGTTCACCTCACTCCAACTTTTCAAAATTGTAAAATTGCCCTGCTTTTGGGTTTGTTTACATTCTTCTTGGACGGCATTACGGAGCCCTTCCGTCTCTTTTCTTTTTTTTTTTTTTTTACGCAACACCACAATCGGAAGAAGATAGACTCTGCCCCCCACTTCTTCATCACAATCACAGCGCCACCGCCGCCGCTGCAGTTGTGACGCCGTCGCCGTGTCATCTTGTTCAATTTCCGACCAGTTAATCCATTCATGTGCTCAATCTGTTTGATATTCGCTTTTGTCAAAATCAATTTTAAACCCTAAAATATATTATCTTAATTCTTCTCAAATTTCTGTTTTGAACAATCCCTGGGCATCAACCACCCCCAATTTGATAGTTCACCTTTTTTTTCACTTTCAAAATCCATAATTGTTCTTCTAAAAAGTAGTTAGTCTTCCCCCTTTGATGTTGATATACTTTTTTTAACACCAAATGATGAAAAGAAGAATCAAATCACTGGGTTTGAATTCAAGTATTGAATTTGAAATCATTTGCATTGTTCAATGCTTTAAACGAGACTAGTGGAACTGGTTCAATGGTTGATCCGTAATCAAACCAGTGTTTTGAAAGTAATTAATAGTATTTTGAAGAGATTTAGCAACATCCTTTTGCAGAATATTTTCTCGTGCGCTGCAGTGACGGCAGAGCAGGAAGGGGCCGGTGCCAAGAGAATAGATTCAATAAGCCAATAAAAAATTCCCTACTTAACGGAAGTTGTTAAACGGCAGATAACTGGGAAGAGATAAGAATGCAGATTTCAAAAAAAAGGGGTATTTTACAATTTCTGAAAATTAACATGAGGTGGATTATTTTAATAAAACTCATATTTATTTATCCACATGGCATCCTATTAGTGGAGGGGCATGGATGCCCCTTTGTTTCGCAAGGCATTACATATAGAGTGAAAAAACTTATTCAAACAAAAAAAATACTCCCTCTGTCCACCATAGATCTTCCCAGATACTATTCACATGGTCAAACTTTACTCACTTTGTTTACTCAATTTTACTAGTCATTTCATAAAATAATATAGTCTTGTCACCTCTAGTTTTGTAGAACTTTTCATGTAGTTTATTACTATATAAATTTTATTTTAAAATTTTACTCCTATAATCAATTAAATTGAATTGAAAATAAAGTCGGTCAAGCCTCGTAACGCGTAATGGGAAGATCATACATGGACGGAGGGAGTAAATAAAACAGAAAACTCTAAAAAGGGAAAATAGAAACAAGAAGAGGGAGAGCACCAGCTAATGCAGGCTAGTAGTAGATCTGCAAATAAAGCTCACGAAAAGGGCAAAAAAAAGAAATTAACCCTAGAGGCTAAATGTAAATGTTGCTCTTTCTGGCTAAATGTAAAATTGAACTTTTCATCAAACTTGGAACAACTCTGACTTCCTTAATTCAAAGTCTACAAATCGGCTAGCGACTTCAACACTATGTCACCTGTGCCCGTAAATCAAGAGTTCTATCGTACTTTAGCCTTACCTTTATAAATTCTCCAATAATCAGATTCTGCCATACTTCACTATTGTGGGTAGCATGAAATTGTGAGACTTATGAAATAATTATAACATTTAGGTCTAAAAGTTTAATCGTTGTATATTTAGAGAAATGGTACTTATTTACAAATTGAATATGTTTAATCTAAATTTGAAATTCTTTCTTTAAAAATCTCCAAACAATACCTTAATAAAGGTGTTTATTGGTTTAAATACAAAAAAACAACTTTATGTACTTAAAAATTGATGAACTATAATTTATTCTTAAGATCTCCCTGTAAGAATTTAAATAAAAAGCAAAAAACTAATCTCACTCACTTTTTAAAAATATGTAAGTATAAAGGGTAAGGATCAACAACTTCTTTCAAGCTTTGGGGTAGAGCTGACAAATCGGTAAGTTCGATCGGATAGGGCTCGATAACTCCAATTTGGATTTTGGTTATTGCGGGTTTAGGTAGATTCCAGTTCGGATTATGAATGACATGTTCATGATCCTGTGTCACGGGGTTGATTCGGTTGACATAACGAGTTATGACCTTTAGTTTCAAAATTCTTAAATTCATATTTAACACTTGCATTTTGCATTGAATAAAAATAAAATATCAAAAAATTGTATTATGCGATTTTTATTTTGATTTTTAAGGAATTTTTAGACATTTGAATCAATATTACGAATAAAAAACTAAGTACGGCATATGATCTAGAAAAAAGTAAGATAATTATTATTAAGATTATGTATGAATATTACGAATATATATCTATACACTAAAAACGAATATTAAGAAAAAATATAATTAAACCCTTATTTTTATTTATAATTCATATTGAATTATATGATTTAAAATATTACACTAATGGGTCGGTCAGGACAGGTTAATGTTCGGTCAGGTTTGACCCACTTTTAGTGGGTACTTCCTATTCGGTTAATAAAACCTTTTTCAAAATTTAATGTTTTTTGAGTCGAGTGAAAAAACAAATCGAATCATTTTTTGTCAGGTCGAAGTACTTTGAATTCTCTTGTTGAAGCTTCTTTTGTAAATTGTCTCCGTCAAAAGAGGTTAGAACAAATTAAAAAGGATGTGCTCTATGCCCAGAGTCTCCTCAGATCGGGCCGGACGGTCATTCACAGGTGTGAACAAATTTTAATGGCCCACAAGCCACTAATTTCAAATCTAATGAAGCTTAGTGGTGCATGAATGAAATTGGTAATAAGAATACTACTAGAAGCATTTCAAAGCTTAGTGCAAAGTGATCATGAATTAATTAGGGACTTAGGGCCTTAGATCTAATGCTGTTTTTAGACAAGGACTAAGGCTAGTTTTTTTCTTCTTAGTTTATTTTATCTGAAAGAGATTAAATTATTTTATAAATAGTAATGGATTCCATCACACACCCCCACAGAACTGACTTTCTTCAACCAAGTTAATTACTTAATTTAATTATATGAAAAATGAAGTGTAGTAACCGTTGCCTTTTCAGAAAAGAAAAAGTGTAAAGACTGTTTCTAGCTAATAGATGACGACATTGGATAATTATCTTCTATGAGAACACGTAATTAGCCAGGTTTGCACTTTGCAGCAAATACTTAAGAATTTTTTATGAGGATTTTTCTAAATACGGCTCGATTAGAAAAAAGTATCCTTAGTCACAATCACAATTTGAGCTTTTGATTGAATTGATTCTGGGATATACTCGCATAATCTATATTTGAAAAATTGATGATTCTCAATCTCATAAATTACTTGCCCCTCACGCTGACTCCCTTGGGGCACTAGTAATACATGTGACGTCACCCTTCGTTATCATGTGTTTAACGCCATGGGAGGGTCAAACACTGCCCCCCTTCGGCGTCATATGAGCGTCAAGCCCGTTGCGTTAAACCTTTGACGCAGCGGCGAAAGATATTCTCCCCTCCAACGGTCCAAAATATGGCCGTTGGGAAATATTTTTTTAAAAAAAATTATTTTTATTTTTAATAGTATAAATAACACTTATTTTTAACACAACAAACACACACAACATATTCTCATTTTCTTTAAATTCCTCCAAAATATATTCAATTTCTTTAAACTCTCTCTACAATATATTCAGAAAATAGGATCATCTTCATCTGACGATGAAAGAAGAGCTCTTATTTTTATTGGTTCATGACAGGCTGTTATCAATGGTGGCAACAGGGCCAACGAGAAGAAGCAAAATCGGCCCAATGCTCGACCTAGCGTGAGCGTTAAAATCGTGA